GAGTGTGGTCTCCACCTCCCTCAGATCTGGAGGACAAGGCTGAAGTGCATAGTCTTATTGGTGGCAGCGCCTCGGACTGCCGGGGCCACTCCAAGAGAAAGGTGAGACCAGACTTCTGGGTAGATCAGTTCCAGGGCTCGGCTCATCCCAAGTAGACCACCAGGGGGCGCTAGAGCACAACGTGTGAGCAGCGAGCCTGCACAGAGCTCTTCCTCCTCCATGAAGGGCTGCAGGCTAAGGAAGCTAGGCAGCCTCTATCCCTGCAGAAGCGCTCAGCTTGGCTCTCACTGGCTGCCTGCAGGTGACTCAAGCTGGCCAGATCACCCAAATCCCTGTTCACCCCCAGAGCTGAGGTCCCTCCCTGTCGTGGGGATAAGAGGCTGGTATGTTGGCTGTGGCCAAGTAGGACTGGGACAGAGATAAGGTTAGGGCCCTGCAAAGACAGTTCCCCTCCTGCCCTGCCAACTGGTCAGCCCTCCCCTCACTCTCTTCCTGCCCCCGAGTGAGAAGAAGCCCACAGGGCTGGGGAGCCTAGGGCTGTGCAGAGCATCTCCTGTTAGGCTTGTGTGCAAGACCACAGCCTCAGTTTCCCCTCATGGTGGCAATTGTGGCCATGTACCTCATTGTCCCTTCTTTCTTCTGTGCAGATCTCCTGGGCTCAGCCAGGGGTGCCAAGCTGGGCAGGGTCCTGGGCAGGCTGCGAGCTGCCCCAGGCTGGTCCTAGGCCTGCTCTGACCCGGGCCCTGCTGCCCCCTGCCGGCACTGGGCAGACGCTGCTGCTGCAGGCCCTGGTGTATGACGCCCTCAAAGGTCAGCATGCTGGGGAGAAGGGTGGTGGTAGTGAGTGGGGTCAAGCCTCAGGGGTGCTATCTTTCCTGAGGATAGAAGTCCAGCCAGCAAACCCCTGGGCCTGCAAGTTTGAGTGGGTGGCAGGTGGGCCCATTTAGAGGGACATGTGTTTCACGAGCGTTGGGGACAGGTCCTCCCCACCCCAGACCTAAGTGGTGAGACCAGCCTGATGTGTTCTGCACATCTTCTTCCTCACGGAGGCTATGATGGTGATTGTGCTCCTGAGACCCCTGGACAGGGCGAGCAGGTCTCCTTCATCTCCCGCTGCCCTCACCTGGGCCTGAGCTTCCTGTCAGCTGGGGTAGTGGGGTAGTTCCTGTGTCCCTGTCTCCACATCGCATACAAGATACACCTTAATGGAGGGGCACACTCTCCACCCCACAATGCTGGCCATTTTTTCTGAAGATAATCCTCAGTCTCCTGTTCTGCCCCTACCAGGGCAATGGGAGGAAGAAGCCACCTCCAGCCTGCAGGAACCAGGTGGAGGCTGAGGTCATTGTCCACTCTGACTTCAGTGCGTGCAGAGGGAGCCCAGACCTCCATCTCCGAGACCCAGAGCCTGAGGACCCTCTGCCTGTGGAGGCTTCTGGTCTCGTCTCTGGCGTCGTAGATCTTGGGCATGGGATGGACTGGCTGGACCAGGACCTGGGGGGGCATGAGCAGTTGGCCGCCAGGTCAGACCAACTCACCTGCCGGCCCGAGGCAGCCAGGGTCCCCTGTGCCTACCCGGACCTCCAACCTGGCAAGGCTCTGCAGGAGACCCCTGGTGACAGCCGCCGACCCACAGCCCCCTGCACTCTAGGAGCCAGCCCAGGCCTGCCCAGAGCCCCCGTCTCCTCCTCTGCTTAGCTCCCCTCCGCGGAAGGTGCAGTTTGAGGAAGGCTGATACTGCTCACCAGACATGGTGTGTGTGGCAATGAACACATGCGTCCCCTCAGCTGCATCACGCCCTTTGGAGCCTCCTAGGATGCTCTGGCTAAGGGGAAGAAGGAGAGGGATTACTCGCTCCTCCCATGCTCTTTGCAACACATGTGATACATGAGAGACATGTGAGACACTGCTCCATGTGATATGCACGCGTGTGAAGCCACGTGTGTGTGGTGTACTGTTTGAGCTGGGAAGCCTCAGCCCAGGAGGTGGTCAGTACGGCCTACTGACGCTCTGGGTTGGGACTGTGCCTCAGCATGGTCCGTCCCTGCCGCCCGCTTACCCAGCTTTTTATTACGCACTCTGAGAGTGTCTCCAGTGCCTGTCTGACAGAGACAGCCCCAGCCCACTTCCTGTGCACGTGGGCTCTGCAGGCCTGACACGTCAGCCACGTCGCCTTCATCTCCCACATGCCCATGGCCCAGACTGAGAGGTGACCCTGGCTGCCCTCGGAGCAGCCCTGCCTCTGATGTGTAATTTGGGGAGTGCCTGGCTCTGGAAATCTGTTTTGCTTCCTCCTCCCCTCCTTCTCTTCTCTTCCCTGTCTCCAGGCCTTCTTGCTGTCCCCATTGTGGCTCCCATCTCTGCTCCCTTGTATCTTTCCTTTCCTCTGTCCTGTTTCTGTCTTTCTGTCTTCTGTCTCTCCTGCCTCTCCAGACTGCGCCATCTGTTTTCTCCTGCCTAAGCTCAATCTCTACATCTTGCCCTAACAACATGACTACCTCATGTCTACTTCCAGGCCGCAGTGCAAGGCCTGAGTCTCCTCCCCCGGGCCCCCTGCCACCCTGTCCTCTGGGCACCACTTAGCCCCTTTCCCCAGGGCTGGTGCAGAGGTGACCTTCTAGCTCTCCTTGGAGTGGATGAATCCGGGTCTCACAAAGGAAGTTTAGAGACTGGAAGTTCCTATGCTTTCCGTGCAGGGAGACAGGCTTGTTGGACTCGGGTGGTTCCCACCTTTCAGGAGTTCTTGCCTTGCGCACCTCAAACCTGACTGGGATGCTGAAGAGAGGTCTTTCCGCAGGAAAAGGGTGACGGGCTCCTTTTGTTCTGTCCTTTTCTTTAAATTGAATCCTGAAATCACTTTCTGCTGATCTGCCACACAGGGACAAGCTTGACTTCTGTTTCCTGTGTAGTGAAAATGATGTCATTTACTCCATCCTTCACCCCAGCCTTCTCAGGAGCATAGATTGTGGGGTCTTTGCTCTCTAACTGATTGGCACATCAAGAGTTAACTCTGGCTACTGGGCCCAATTAGAAATAACAGTCTATCGTTCCTCATTTTGTTTTTAAGCGGTGAGATGTCTCAGCAGAGTCGCAGACCCTGAAAGCATCTGTGTTTATTACGATCGGGTGTCACTCACGTTTGACACCCTCACCTACATCTCCTCCCCCTCCCCTCCTCCAGCCAGCCTAGGATAGCACTAAAGATTATTAATGTCGGTTTTGTATCTCATTAAAGACAGAATTGTCACTTGTACTGTTTCTGTGGTGTTCAGCTTGGCTGTGGCCAGCACCACAATATGTTTCATCATCACTCTGAAGGTCAAAAGCCTCATTTTATTTTGCTGGTTTGATTTTTTTTTTTTTTTAAGAAAAAACAAAACTGCCCCGAATTAAATGGCTGTTTTAACAGTAGGCTCTTAGCATTACACCACATTGTCATGTTTCATGTTCTTGTTTAACAGGCACTGAGGTTCTGGTTTAAATTAAATAGCTGCAAATGAGACAATTTATAACCCATTAGGTTGGGTGGAAAATTGTTTCTCAAAAGCAAATAAGTAATAAATCTGGTATCTGCCTATAACTCACAGTTGATAAGAAAGTGGCCATTACTCACTAGCATTATATATGATTTGGGCTCTGGGTAATTTGGAAGTGTTAGGTTTGTGTCTTTGTAGCAGTATTTTTATTAGAAAAGAGTCTATTGGCCTTTTACAGGGTATTAATCCCTGTGTCACCTACCATTGATGCCTTAAGTTTTTTGAGTCTCATTTAAATATCTTCCTTTTCTTGATGCATGACACATGTAATTGGTACCTGCTCATTTATTTGTCTGTACTTAGCTTATGCTGTATTATTTAATTATATTTCCAGCAGTTTTCCCTTACAGATACGATATTCTCTAGTGTTCAACAAAGGCATCGATCATGTAGCTATTATAATGAATTAATAAACTATTTTCCAGACTTGGGTGATGTTTGATGGAACCAGTGACTAAAATTTTCTGAGCTTTTCTGTCCTAGGAAGTTTATTTCCCACCAGGATAGGAAATGGTGGGTTTTGAATGTAGAATGCAGGTGGTGGGAAGAAAGAACTAAACCATGCTCCTTCCTCAATTAGGAAATGACCTCAACTTACGGGAAAGAATGGGGTGTAGCAACACGCTGGATAGCGGGATGCCTTGAGTTCGACTCTCCCTGCCCTGCAAAACACAAAAAATGAAAAACAGGGAAGAGGGGCTCTTTGACTCTTAGCAGATCGCTTTCTCTGGACACACAGGTTTCCACACTTTTTTGTGTACAAGAAAAAAGTTGCAGTTTCCACAACTCTCCCATATAAATCTGGTCACCTCGTGGCTGCACATTCACACACAGGCGCCGTGGCACAGCATCTCACACACGGAACCCCACCCTCACACCCCACCTATCTCAGGCTGGTGATTGAGTGCTGCTCTCAGCTAAGATCTTGGCAGAGTGGAAAACAGGCCTCTACTGGAAGGAACCCGGAGCCAGAGGCTGCCCTTACCAAGACCACCCCCAAAGTGGCCGGTGGGCCAGACCCGGAGTTAACTGACAGATCATACAGAGAGATACTGCCAACTTTGCACACAGCAGAATAGCCATTATTCGCATACCTCTCTCAGACTGAGGGCTGTGATGAAGATGAATTAAACACTTGTCAAGATGAATTTTAAATGACAGCAATCCAGGACACCAATTTGACCTCTCTAGAGTCCAGGACATGCCAAGAAGGGGTTGCTGAAGATTCAAGCCCTGGAGGAGCTAGTCCCAGGGACTTCAGGCCCAGGAAGCCCCTCCTTGCCTACCTCTCTAAGACCAGCAAATGCCGCACTCCTGCCCTTCCTCGTATTTCAGCCGGAGGCACACTGGGGCCCCTGACCTTGAATTTCTCCATTGCCTCCTGGTCCTCTGGCCTCAAGTCCTGTCCCCCAGGTACATCTTCCAGCTGCTGCAGCAGAGTGAGGGGTCCCAGGGCTGGGCAAAGCCTACAGCTAGGTCAGTGGGCTTGGCCATCTACAGGCAGTCTGAGTTCTGGAGGCCTTGTCTACACCAAAGTTCGTTTGTTTTACATATGGTCCCAAGATTCCCCAGTTAGTTCCAAAGAGAGACCTTGTCATCCCAGCCCAAAGCCCAAGGGGCAAACAGCTGACCCAGTTGGTCACCACCACCTTTACACCTCCTGCTCCCAGACTTTAATAGGAGTGTCTCGGGGATTTTGGTGAACTAAGTTCATCATTCACCACTCAACTGAAGATCGTTTAGCATAGCAGTGAGTTGCCAAGGTTGGAAACTGCGGGTGTGTATTTCCTGAGACTCCCTTGCCTTCTGTAACATGCTCACAGGGAAGCTGTGTCTGCTCAAGAGCTCTCCAACATGAGATACTGGGTGTTCTTTGTGGCACAGACACGTTATTGGCAATTTTAACTTCACCGTGCTTCCCAGGTACCGGTTATTTGCTGTTTTAAAGGTGTCCGGGGCTGCGCGGGAGGGACAGTTATCGCCACCGGGTTGGCCTGGCTGGACGGCAAGGCTGAGCGGGGAAGGAACTGGGAGGGCACTCGGTTACTTTCGCGATCTCATTGTCTTGGGGGTCTGCTCTTCCAGGCAATCCACCCACGTGCCACAACTCCCAAGTCGAGAGAGGCTAGTCTTGAAGCTAAATGTCCTATCCTTTGACTGCCGGGACCAGGAACCCCGGGAATGGAGAACCTATTACAACTTTGAGCGGCTTTTAGGGGAATTATCTGTAAAATACAGACTCGGAGACAGTGGGAAAGGGCGCAGCAGAAATAGCGGAGCAGAGCAAATCCCGCAGTTTTGGGTGTCCATCCACAGCCCGGACCCGCTCGCTCCACAGCCCGCTGCGTCTCTGCTTCCCAGGTCCCTTAGATTCAGAACCGGACGGCCGCGAGGGGACCCCCGGCTGCAGC